AGGTGTGGGGGCAAGGGGGCAGGCCTCGGGAAGATCAGCTACTTCCCCCAGTGAAACCGGGTCCCTTAGGTAGTTGTCACCACAGAGGATAAGAAATTAATAGGAAATAGAGAGAATAATGGAAATAAAAGAATACACAGAGATGAAGGTATAGTTTTATAGGTTTATAGAGAGAAAGCAAGGGTACTCAGGAGTCTGCACCACATCTCCACCAGTAGTACAGCCTTGAGAGTAGATTCACATAGGTTTTTATAGTCTTAGATATTAATTATTAGTTGCCGGAGTAATAGATTTACATAATAGGTAATGAGGTTGGTATGGGTACAGATTTACATATCAACAGGTAGTTAGGGTTAAAATTTTTTTCAAAGGGCTTCTAACAATTTCTAATCTATCTAAGTGAACAAACAGTTACTAAATCTTTCAAGGACTACCTTCTAAGTTCTAAGAGATAGCTATCAATTAACAGAGGAGTAACAAAGGGACATAGTGGCTCTATATTTCTTTTATCTTGTTGTTGTGGACTTGAGGCAGACAGTCAGCAGAGAACCCAGGAAACCCAGCTCTACATTCTAAATTTGCTCATAACAACACAGGTGCGTCTCTTGCCAAGGGTACTTATTGTCTCTGGCTCCCATCCTGTGAGCCAAGTATTTGCCTGTCTTGTCTTTCAAGGTCAGGGAGGCTCACAGACCTGAGAAAAGCAAGAAGCCCCCTGGAATGCATCTGCACAGGGAGCTTTGAGAGCTCTCCCAAGGTGAAGCTTTGAGAGCCTAAAGTATGCATCCCTTGATATGAAAACTAATGAGTTCACACATTCCTTCAGGGCACAACCCAGCAAACTCCTGTTTCTGTCTTTAATATAGGTAAATTGGGTGATACAATAAAATAATGATCTTATGAGCCACATCTCATCAATTTCTCTATCATCTTTCCTCAACAACAAGGTGTGGAAGAATGGCATCTGCCAAATTTTTATATATTTTTATTTTATTTTTGTATTTTATATTTTTTATTTTATTTTTTATATGTTTTTATTTCTTTTTTTAGAAAAATGGGCTAGGCATTATAAAGAGTGGGGATAAAGTGCTTATTCCAGTATAAATCCAGGCATCAAGAAGAATTCTATGTAGTACAAAACTGTGCCTTCTAATATCATTTTGGTTTTCTGTTTTTGTTTTAAGAGACTGAGTTTCACTCTGTCACCCTGGCTGAAGTGCAGTGGCTCAATCACCACTCACTGTATCTTCTACCTCCTGGGCTCAAATGATCCCCCCACCCTTGTAGAGATCATCCAGAATCTCTGCAAATGTCATGGTGCAATGAAGAATGCTCCAGACCACAATCTCAGGCTGAAGGAGGAGGAAAGACTCTTTTCCTTTCAAAGAGTTCCTGAACTTCTCCAAACCTCTGTATTTATTGCAGAGAAAGGCATTCAAGGTCAAAGCAAAGAACATACATAGAGAATGTTTGGAAAGAACATATAGATTAAAATCTCTGGTGCCAGTAAACACATTATTCTAAAGAAATCTAGTTAGTGATATGCAACATATCCATATTTATCTTGAGCTTCCTTGTGACTCCTTAAGGCTATAAAGAAAAGGGTACAGACCCAAGATCAGTCACACTCCCATGCATTCCAAAGCCTGCTGTGTGCAGCTGGCTGATAAGCATTCATACTCCAAGTCTTGTTTGCAAGACTGCCAGATTTCCAGCTTTCTCACAGTCCCTTTACACAGGTCTGTATGCCTTTTCTATACCCTTTACAACCCCAGCCTCCGAAATAGGTAGAACTATAGGCACTCACCACTATGCCCAGTTAATTTTTCATATCTTTTGTAGAGATAGGGTCCTTCTATGTTGCCCAGCTAGAACTCCTAGGCTTAAGTGATCCTCCTGCCTCAGTTTCCCAAAGTGCTGGAATTACAGGCATAAGCCATCATGCCCAACTATTATATGTACTTGTGATGTCTGAAATAAGAGAGGTCAGGCTAAAACATCAAGGAGTCCTTTGTTTGGGGAGATGACATCAATCTGGGCATAAATGAAGCCTCATGCCTGAGGTGACAGTAAGGTTCAGGTGACTGAACCTTGAAGGACTGGTCCTCAGTAACTTGCACAGCCCAATTTATTTCAGCTTGGGACATAAGCTTCATAGAGCCTTCTGTAACTCACTCAAAGCTCACCTATTGTACAGCAAGTGTCTTTTTTAATTTTTTTTTTATTTCAACATATTATGGGGGTACAGATGTTTAGGTGACATATATTGGCTTTGCCCCACCCGAGTCACAGTTTGAAGCATGTCCATCCCCCAAACAGTGCACACTCACCCATTAGGTGGGTATATACCCATCCCCACCTCCCCCTCCCATCTGCCCAACACCCCATAAATGTTATTACTACATGTGCATTTAAGTGTTGATCAGTTAAAACCAATTTGGTGGTGAGTACATGTGGTGCTTGTTTTTCCATTCTTGGGATACTTCACTTTGAAGAATGGATTCGAGCTCTGTCCAGGACAATATAAGAGGTGCTATATCACCATTTTTGTGTGTGGCTGAGTAGAACTTCATGGTATACATATACCACATTTTTTAATCCACTCATGTATTGATCAGTACTTGGGTTGTTTCCACATCTTTGCAATTGTGACTTGTGCTCCTATAAAAATTGTTGTGCAGATGTCTTTTTTATAGAATGTCCTTTGCTTTTTTGGTAGATGCCTAATAGTGCTATTTCTGTATCCAATGGTATTTCTATTTTTAGCTCTTTGAGGTATCTCCAAATTCGTTTCCACAGAGGTTGCACTAGTTTGCAGTCCCACCAGCATTGTAAGAGTGTTCCTGTCTCTCCACATCCTTGTGAGCATTTGTTGTTTAGGGATTTTTTGACAGAGGCCAATCTCACTAGGGTTAGGTGATATCTCATTGTGATTTTGATTTGCATTTCCTTGATGATTAGAGATGTTGAGCATTTTTTCATATGTTTTTTGGCCATTAGTCTACCTTCTTTTGAAAAGTTTCAGTTCATGTCCTTTGCCCACTTTTTGATAGGGTTGTTTGATTTTTACTTGCTGATTTTCCTGAGTTCTAAAGAGATTCTAGTTATCAGTTCTTTATAGGATGTGTAACATGAGAATATTTTTTCCCATTCCTTAGGTTATCTGTTTGCTCTCATAATAGTTTTCTTGGCTGTGCAGGAGCTTTTTAATTTGATCAGGTCCCATTTATTTATTTTTGCTGTGATTACCTTTGGGGTCTTCTTCATAAATTCTTTGCCTAGACCAATGTCTAGAAGATTTTTTCCAACATTTTCTTCGAGAATTCTTGTAGTTCTTGCCTTAGGTTTAAGTCTGTTATCCACCTCAAGTTGATTTTTGTGAGAGGTGAAAGGTGCCAATCCTGTTTCAGTCTTCTACATGTGGCTATCCAATTTTCCCAGCACAATTATTGAATAAGTATCCTTTTCCCCAGTGTTTGTTTTTGTCTGCCTTGTCAAAGGTTAGATGGCTATGTGAGGATAGTTTTATATCTGGGTTCTCAGGTCTGTTCCATTGGCCTATGTCTATTCTTGTGCCAATACTATGCTGTTTTAGTTACTATAGCCTTGTAGTATACCTTAAAGTCTGGTAAATTGATGCCTCCCAATATGTTCTTTTTGTTTAAGATTGCTTTTGCTATACAGGGTCTTCTCTGGTTCCATATGAAGCATAAAATTATTTTTTATATATCTGTGAAAAAATGATGTTGTTATTTTAATAGAGATTTCATTTGACACTGTATATCATTTGGGGTAGTATAGACATTTTAACAATGTTGATTCTGCCAACCCATGAGCATGGTATGGTTTTCCACCTCTTTATGTCCTCTGCTATTTCCTTCCTCAGTGTGTCATATTTCTCCCTATAGAGGTCTTTTACCTCTTTTGTTAAATATATTCCTCAGTGTTTCATTTTCTCTCTTGCTATTGTGAAGGGTATTGAGTCTTTGATTTGATTCTCAGTTTGACTGTTGTTGGTATATAGGAATGCTACGGATTTCTGTACATTGATTTTGTAACCTGAGACTTTGCTGAATTTGTATATCAATTCCAGTAGTCTAATGGCAGAAAGAAAACTACAGGCCAACATCCCTCATGAATATAGATGCAAAAATTCTCAAAAAATCCTAGCAAACCATATTCAGGTTCTTACCAAAAAAAATAATCAATCAGGACCAAGTGGGCTTCATCCCAGAGATGCAGGGATGGTTCAACATTTGCAAATCTATAAATGTAATTCACTACATAAATAAAAGCAAAAACAAAGACCATATGATCCTCTCAAAAGACCCAGAAAAAACATTCAACAAAAATCAGCACCCTTTTGTGATAAGAACTTTTAACAAAATAGGCATAGACAGGACTTACCTAAAAATGATACAAGACATATATGACAAACCCACAGCCAACATCATAGTGAATGGTGAAAAATTGAAAGCATTCCCACTTAGAACTGGAACCAGACAAGGTTGCCCTCTAAAACTGCTTCTATTCAAATTAGTACTGGAAGTCCTAGCCGGAGTAATTGGACAAGAGAAGGAAATCAAATACATCAAATGAGATCTGAAGAGGTCAAACTATTGCTCTTTCCTGACGATATGATCTTGTATCTAGAAAACCCAAAGATTCTGCTAGGAGACTACTGGAATTGTAATACTTTATGTTTTAAAACACTCAAGGCCAAACTCTCATAAAATTAAGGAAACTTAGCAATCCAAAGAACCTCTTATTTCTTAGTCACAAAACTTCAGAATATTTTCTAAATTTCAGGGTTTCTATAATCCACCCATCTCTGTTTAATGTTCCAAATCTTGTTTCTGCTGGATGAGAAAATCAAAATGATAAAATTTCTCCTAAAGATATCATGCGACTTACCAATGACACACAGTAATAAAGAGGGAATTGCAACTTAAATGTAGGTCTTCCATCACCCAGTCCAGTGTCCTTGTTTCTATATGTTATTATTTCTCGATCTGTAGTACAATTGATATCCTGGATCGCCTACCTCTAAGAAACTTCTTCCTTTCAATCTTCCTTCTGAATGAATCTTTGACTTCCTTATTTCTCAGGCTGTAGATAAGCGGGTTCAACATGGGGATCACTTATGTGTAGAACAAGGAAATCACTTTATTGATGTCCAGAGAGAAACTAGAGCTTAGACGTACATAGATAAAGAAGAGTGTCCCATAAAGGACGGAGACAGCTGTCAGGTGGGAAGAGCAGGTAGAAAATGCTTTGTGCCTCCCATCAGCAGAGTGGATCCTCAGGATGGCCATGACAATGTAAATGTAGGAGACCAAGATGATCACACCACTGAGCACTCTCAGGGCTCCAGCAAGAATGAAAAGCAAAAATTTATTGACACAGATATCTGCACATGCCAGGGAGAGAACAGGAAGAAGGTCGCAGGAGAAGTGATTGATGATATTTGGACCGCAATAGGGTAGGCAGAAGGCAAAAGTCATATGAGTCAAGGTGCTATTAAGGCCCATGGCACAAGGCCCCACCACCAGCTGCACACAGACCTGCTGTGACATAATAAGTGTATACAATAAGGGCTTACAGATGGCCATATACAGGTCATATCCCATGGCAGCGAGAAGGTAACATTCAGTTACTACAAAATGACCAAAAAGCATAACTGGGCAGCACAACCAAAGAAAGAGATTACTTTTTTGTCCATGAAGATATCAGTCAACATCTTGGGACCTGTGACAGAAGAGGAACAGACATCCACAAAGGACAAGTGGCTGAGAAAAAAGTACATGGGGGTATGGAGTCGGGAACCCATCCAAATGAGAGTGATCATCCCCAAGTTCCCCAGAAGGGTGACAAGATAAACAAAGAGAAATACCAGAAAGAGCACAACCTAGTACTGGAAGTGATTTGTTAATCCCACACAAAAAAATTCAGTGACCAAAGTTTCATTTCTGTACGCCATTTCTCTGATTCAATCTGTTATGAGAAAGACAAAGAATTTTCTATGCAACCAATTCATAAAGAAAGGCAACTTAGTTTCACATCTGTATTTAACTTTTATGCTTTTTTAAAGTTACATAGCAAAGGCTGACAGCCAACAGTCTTGAGTTCTACTTCTGGTGGTCCTGCTAACTCTCTGGTACCATCTGGGTCATAGTGAGTTGTTCCCTAAACCAAACTGGGCACTTCAGTTTCCTCCTTGGTCAAAGAGGACTTTTGTACAGAATCAGAATTTTAGACCTAGAACTGAACTTTGGAGATCATCTAAGGAAAGTCTTCCAACTGTGTGAGGTTACCTTTCTAAAGATACCTGCCTGTGAACCAAGGGTGTTTTGAGAAATACTTCATAGAAAAAGATATTTTATAGATTCAATGAATTCAGGCTGATACCTATCCTCACTCCAGGTTAATAGTAAACCAGTGTTAAAAATGTAACTTCCTCCCTAATTCACTCAGATACTATAGCAACGTTAGTCAAATTGTCTATGAGAAGGGAGGGAAGGCTGAAACAAAAGACCTTGGCTTTGGAATAGAAATCAAAAAACTCAACAGTATCTTGTTTGTGACACTTTCTCACTTCTGTCTACGTTACCTCACACCCTGGGTGTATATATCCATTAATCCATTCACTCTCCATTGAATTTTTAAGGCCATCAAAAAAAGAGCTAATTCTCAAATATTGAGTAGGTTCTGTGACCCACTCAGTTTTCCAGGTGCTTGGGAAAGAAAGACAAATATTTCAATAAAGAAAGGGGAAACTCCTGGGCATTTATTGTGGAGAAATGAAAACTTATGTTCACACGAAAACCCATATGAGATTGTTCTTAGTAGCTTTATTTATAGTAGTCCAAAATTTGAATCAAAAGTTCCTAAAATAGATGAATGGTTAAACAAACTGTGGTACTATGGAATACTACTCAGTGACAAAGAGGAACAAACTATGAAACAGGCAACAACTTGGGTAGATCTCAAAAACATTATACTGAATTGAAGAAAGCCAATCCCAAAATGTCACATACTCCATAATTTCATGTACATAACATTCTCAAAGTGACAATATTATAGAAACGGAGAACAGGCTAGTGGTTCCCAGGGATTAGGAATGGAGGGAGAGAGGGTGGTGGGGTGATTATAAAAGAGTAGCACAATGGAGATCTTTGTGGTAATAAAAGAGTTGTATATTCTGATTGCAGTGGTGGTTAAACAAATCTGCACATGTGATAACATGATATGGAACTCTACATGCACATCATATTAATATCAATCTCCTGGTTTGCATTTTGTACCACAGTTACATGGGACGTAACCACTGGGGAAAGTGGATGAAGGATACATCAGACCTCTTTGTGCTTCGTGTGGATCTATAATTATTTGAAAATAAAAATTTAGAACAACAACAAAAAAAGAACAAAAATGAGAAGGAAGAAGAAGGAAAAGCGAAGACTGTAGAAAAGAAGGAAAATTGAGGAAGGGAGGCATACATTTTTTATCTTGAAATGTTCATATTGATTCCAACAGCAAAATCATGGCTTTCCAAATATTTCCAAAATCATGGAAAATATTCATGTGATGTGTGTCAGGATAATTACTGGAGTAATAAAGTCTAATAGCATACTCTTCTGGTCAGAAAGTTTAAAAAGGATTTTGGTTACCTACAAATTCATGAAGTGAAAAGCTGCTGGTCTTTTGTTGTCTCAGAAGCAAAGGAGCTTGGAAAAGAAAAGGCCATAAGGGACATAAGTTAAGATTAGTAAGAAAAAAAACTATTACTTTAGTAGTGAAATGTTTCCAGAATTCTGTATTTTCTAAACATAGAAACTCACCTCAGGTTTCTATTGTGTATTACACAAAGAAGGTAGAAACAGCATTTTGAGTGTCAAAATAAATTTAATTACAGAAAAATTTTAGAAGGCTGAAACTGGAATATACACATTGGTGACCTCAAATAAATGCCACTGTAAACACAGGTAGTGAAGTAGTGATATCATTGATAATTGCTGTGATTTTGAAATTGGTATTAAACCTGAAATGCTATGTGAAACAATACTTGTCGGCTGTGGAAAAGGCTATGAAGCTCTATTTTTCCCAGCCTTACCCAAGTCAAAGATTATAATCGAGAAAAAACACAATGCTGGGCATGCATGTGACTGTGAGCATGAGCAGAATGAGAATTCAGCTTAGCTGACTCAGAAGTTTGTGTTCTACCAGCTAAAGCGAAGTAATTAAGACTCAGAGAAGCCAAGACCTCTTCATTCTCACATTCTAGGAGCCCATAAACCTTCCAGCACATTTCATTATCTCTATGGCAAACACAAAATTAAACCACAATGTACATTTAAGCTAAGTCATTGAAACCGGAAATAGAGAGTACATACCCTATTTGTATCAAGTTCTTTATAGTGGCCTTAGAGATGATGTTTTCCCAGGCTTCTAAACTCCTTTTTGCACACCTCATCTCTGGAATCCAATGTAGGTCATCATGTAACTCACCCATCTGAAGAAACAAGCCCTAGACTCTTTGCCTGCCTATGCCAAAGGGAATTACAAAATCAACGGTTTCTGATAAAAAAAATAAATAAATAAATTACCTAACAATTTTCCTTCTTTTCAGCTTCTTCAGATGTCCAAACAAGAAATAATAGAGTGACATCATTTTGACAGTTGAGTCTTCCAATAGCATTTTTAAAGAGACTTCATTGACTCAATTCTGTGCAGCACACAGGAGAGGTTTTTCTAAAGAGCTTTTCAGTAAATTGGAGCCAACTCCCTCAAGGAACCACAAGCTCAGGTAAGCAGGTCCACAGGGAAGATATTAAAGTTTTTTCTGAGAAAACAATTTCGGTGATTTTGGATTAATGGTAATTGCACAAATAAAACTCTCTCACTCTCTCTCTCTCTGTGTGTCCCAAAAAGAGAAAATTTTCTAGAACTTCTCTAGAAATGTATATTTTAGAACTGTGAAAGACAGCCTTGCTTCAGAGAGATTACAGTTAGAGGGGAATCTGAGTGCACAGCAGCCCTAGGGACCTAATCGTTGGGGCAGGAGTTCTAAATAGGTAAGATCCCTGCAAATCCAGTAGGGTTTGTAAATAATCTCATGGAGGTGGTAAAGCTCAAAGGGAGGCTAAGATATAGGTGATTAAAAATAAAGTGGACTAAGGATTTCTATGCAGCAATGGACAGTCATAAATCTGGATAGCACCTTTGAGAGATAAAGAGAGTCCACACTACACTGGCTGTATGAAATTCTCAAATGTTAAGTTTGGAAACATATATTTGGGCTTAAAATTCTTATACATTTTAACATTAGTCAAAGGAGTTTAAATTTTTTTCTGTAAACATTGAGGAGTCCCTCAAGGTATTTCAGAAAAGAGATGACGTTTATTCACCTAAAAGTTGTCACGGGACATTAATCTGATCACTAGTGGTGTTTACTACATGTAGCACACTCTTCTAGGTGCTTTGAGAAAATTAACTTGTTCAAATGACAGAAAAATCCAATGAAGTGGATTAACAGAAAAGCCTAGCATCTCCTACTATCCTCCCTCCCTCACTCCACTTTCTTTTCTTGAAACTAGCAAAGCAGGATCGTACCCCAGAATCTTTGCTTTCTTCTTTCTGCTTAAACGGTTTCTTTCCAGATGTCTGCAAAATTTACTTCTTCGTTTCTGCTACAAGATCTGCTCATCAGAGAGGCCTTCTCTAATCATCCTTTGCAATAGAGTACAGCTGACCCCACCTCAACTCTCATTAACTCTCTTCTCTTTGCCCAGTTTCATTTTTCTTCAAAGCAATCACTTACAACTTAGCATTGAGTTTTTATTGCATCCACCCACCCTATAAGAATGAGCAGCAGTTTTGTAAGATTTTCCACAATATATTCCCCAGCTTCCAAATAGTTTCTTAAAAAGTAAGTGTTCAATATGTTTTTTTATTTATTTTTTTAACATAATGAGGGGGTAAAAGTTGAATTTCATTATGTGAGTATATTATACAGTGGTGTGCAAGTGTGGGCTTTTCTACCCACATTAATAGTGTACACTGTGCTCCATGGGTAATTTTTCATCCCTCACCCCCTCCCCACTTTTGAGTTTACAGTATCCACTGTACCACTCTGTGTGTCCTTGAGTAGCCATGGTTTAGCTCCCACTTACAAGAAAATGCATAACTTACTTTTCTGTTCTGGAGTCACTCCACTTAGGATAATGGCCTCCAGTTCCATCTACATTGCTGCAAAACACATTATTTCATTCTTTTTTATGTTTGATTTGTATTCCATGGGGTGTGTGTGTGTGTGTATACATATACATACATACATAGTCATACATACATATCATATTTTCTTTATCCACTCATTGATTGATGGGCACATAGGTTGATTCCATATCTTTGAATTTGTGAATTGTGTTAGGATAAACATATGAGTGCAGGTATATTTTGGATATAGTGATTTATTTTCCTTTGTATGGATACTGTTAGGGTGTGGAGTTTGTAAACGGAGGAGGGGGCAAGATTTCTCACACAGTGATTAGGATATACAGAAGTAAAAGTTTATTTATTGTTCATGTTACTTTGATAACAGAAGCGGTGGTGAAGTTGTTGCAGGTGCTCTTTTTGACTTATCTGAGTCCTTGGAATCTGTTTTTGGCAGGAACTGAGGCAGAGAGTGTGGGGAGCTCCACTTGGGGCTCTTCAAGGCTGAAAACAACTCTTAGAGATAATGAGTTAGCCCACAGATGTTTAATTAAACAAAACAAAGGGAGTAGTTATGTTGTGAGTTGATTTTTCTCTGTTAGATATGTTATTAGTAAGACCACTTTTTATCCTCCCACCCTCCGTAGGTTAAAATCAAAATTTCTATTTAATGAACTTAGAAACTGGGGAATATGA